CCCCCCCCCAATCTCTCTCTCTCGCTCGCTCTCTCCATCCTCCCTCCCTCCCCTCCCGTCCTCCCTCTTCTCACTCGTCCTCTGCCTCTCCAGGCGGCACCTGCGTGTGCGCTCGCCCGCATCTCGGCCATCGGACCCGATGTCGCTAGCCTCCGCGGGGTGACGCCGAGGGCTGCTGGGGCGGCGGACGCCTTTGGAGAATCTCCAGACTGGATTTTTGTGATTGTTTTTGGTTTTTGTTTTTTCTTCTTTGCTTTGGAATTTCCTCCGTTCGGGAATGTTCCCACCGGATCGCTGGTCATCCGGGAGGGAAACGCGATCCAAAGCCGGCTGCGCAAAGGAAGCGGGATCATGCGTCGTCGCTTGAGCAGAATAATCCGCCCTGTGATAGCGCTGCGTGACAACACACCCCCTCCATCCCGCTGCCCTTCTCCTCCTCCTCCTCCCCCCCCCCCCTTCTCCTCTTCCTCCTCCCGCCACCGCTTCTGCACTCTGAATTGTTGCTTTTGTGCATCGGGACGAGCGGCGGAATCAACTGTCAAAAGGGTTGAAACAAGAAGAAATCCAAGCGAGGCAGGGCAAAGTCCGTCGGGAGAGAGAGAATTGTGGTGCGGTGGGACCCTCGCGGGGCAAAAAGCTGCTGGATCATCCTGCATCTGGGAATTGGATATTTTCCTGCGCACACACGCAAGGACATGGTGAGGCGTTCGTGTGCATGCTAAGTAGGAATTGGGTTTGGATTTTTTTTCTTTTTTTTTTTTTTTTTTTGCTGCAGCGCCGCACTCTCATGCGCGGATACGGAGCCTTCCCACCCTGCCGTCCGTTCCGTCTTCTCTGCTTTCTTCCCGTCCCCTCCAAGTTGGGAGTCGGTCGCAAATCGAAGGCAGACTAATCGTCCGATCGTCTCGGCGCACCGACTCTCCACGCATGTTCCTTTTGTCCTCGGCGCCTTCTCCGCGCGTGGATTATCAGCGCCTCGTGTCATCTCCACCTCGGTCCGGAACGTTTGTGACACATGCCGAGCGCAGGATTAACCCCCAATGAGCCGTGAAGAAGGGCCCGCGAGGATGAGCGAGTGTTCCAGGGCCGGCGGGACGGGCGCGGTGATCCTGGAGGAACCGGAGCCGGCGGGGACCTCGGGTACCTCCGCGGCCCGCGCCGAGGGCCCGGCCCGAGACCGGGGCCCTTTGGGGTGCGCCCTGTGGCCCCGCCAGCAGACGTGGCTCTGCATGGTCCCGCTCCTCATCGGATTCATCGGCTTGGGCTTGAGTCTGATGCTCCTCAAGTGGATCGTGGTCGGGACCGTGCGGGATTACGTCCCGACGGATCTGGTGGATGCCAACCGGATAGGACAGGACCCCATCTTCCTCTCCAAGCCCAGCGGGGTTCCCAAAGGACCCGAGACCACCACGACCGCCACGACCACCACCACCACCACCATCACGACCACCCCTACGGTGGACCACGCGCCAAAAACCGTAACCGCCGGGAGAGGTAGAACTCGATCTACCGTGACCACCACGGCTAACCCGAGAACAGGCGGGGCCTCGGGCAGCCTGGCCACCCCTCGGAAACACGCCAATCGGAACGGACGCCTTCCCGTGGGTTTTACCGCGCCGCCTCGCACCAACCTGAGAACATCCACCCCGTCTCCGTCTAATCCCACCGTGCTCCACGACTCCACGCAGATGTGGACTTCGGAACATACCACCGCAGGGGCCACCACCACCGCCGCCCACAGGCGTGGACACCACAAAACGCGTAAGTCAAGCTGCTTACGCGACAACTCCCGGCACGTCGTTTCTCGTGAAACTTCCTGGGTGCCATCTTGGCATCTTCGAGCGCCTGAATGAATGCGCCGCCCCGTCTGTATTTTCTCACTTTCATTCTGAAAGGCGACGCCAGATTTGAATGAACCTTCCTGGCTGCCTTTGTGGTCATTTCAAGTGCCGAGTGATAACTGGCAAATTGTTTTGACTATCGTCATGTGTTGCTTCATTAAAGCTTCATGAAACATCCTGGTTGCCATGCTGCGATAATTTAGGAGTTTGGTTGGTACTCAAAAAAAAAACGGAGGTAATGACACATTGAGAGATGTCACTTTTATTCTGAAATACCTCATTTAGAGTTGAATTGAACTTCTTGGGTGACTTCCTGTGCTTGTCCAGCACCTTCACAAGAGTGAAGTAACAGTGATCGACGGGGTTTAATTTGAAGGTTCCAAAAGGATGTTGGCCTGAAAATGCTGACTCTGATTTGCACGAACCCTCCCGGGCGCCTTCCTCGCATTGTCTCGCACCTGACAAGAGTCGAACGATCGGGGCGATATCTTTAATGTCTCTCCGAAGATGGAGTTAATGAGCGGTGGGTTCAACTGCACCGCGGTGAGGAGCGGGCGTCGTTGATCACGTGACCCCAAGGCGATTGCTTCTATCGATCAAGTTGATGACCGTCCAGCTTGCTCGTTGATCTGATAGATGGCGAGCTGACACGTTTTCTTCTCTTCTTGCTTTGAGCGCGTGACATTCCCAAAGGCGGACAGACCAGTCGCGATCGATATCATTGACAAGCGCCGCGAGGCCACCTCAACCGGCGTGAAGGCCCCCAAATCTGTCTGGATGTTCCGGATGTTTACGCCTGGCGCTGGAGGCTTAGCGTGCCGTGCTAACAAATGATTGCCCAATCGGCAACGGGTGTCAAAGTGAAGGTGGCCCGTCGTCGGGCATTTCAGGCAGCGCCGCTGGTTTTCACCTTGGAGAATTTGGAAGCGCCAGAGTTTCAGTGGAGTGACCTTTCGAAAATCAGGCTCTACCTTGAGTACCGAAAGTGTCGCGGGACACCTCCCGATGGCCCAAAAAGTCAAAGTTGCTGCTTTCGGTTGTGCTTTATTGCTCTGCTTAATTCGATTGCCCCCACGCTGGCGTCTGCATTGTTGATTGTCTCTTAACTAAATTAACTTTTCTGCTCATTAACGCTAATTCCACCGAGGCTGGCGGTGATGGAGAGCAGCGCAAGCTCAGCGGGGCAGCTCACATTAGATGAGGGGGGCGGGGGGGGCGGGGGCATGCCAACAGGAAGCGGCTCAGCTTTGGTTCCCTTTTTGTCCTCTGCGCGCCCCAGGCGGATGCCCAAAGTAAACACAGCCTCGCCTCCGTCAAGTAAATTGATAGGACTCCGTTGGCGTCCGGCTTTTTAAAGGATCGCAACCTTCGGTGTAGGCGGGGCTCCGCAACCGAGCGCCAATGCAAATGGTGAACATTTGCAAGTCACTGAAAAAGGTTTGGGATTGGAAAAAAGGTGGTTCGTACGTGTGGATCGCTTTTCTCTTGAGTCCACTTGAGCCCACCAACAGGCAACTTGCGGAACTGCAAGCGTCTGAACTCAAGGACTGTGGCAGCTGAGTCTTTTTGTTGTTGTAAAGGGGCGCGTTTATTGATTTATCTTGAACTATTGTAACACCTGAATTTCCCCTCTGGCGATCAATTCAGGTTATCTTTGTTTGATATTCAAATCACGATGTGTTTGACGACATCATCAAAAGCGTCGTCGAGAACAAAAAGGGTGAGGGCAAGGGAAAAAAAAAAAGACGATGAAGAAGAAGCGTCATGTCGTGTTTTGGTAAATGACTCGAGATTTTTGCCGCCTCGTCCTCGTCCTGTTTCTTCTTCGTCTCAAATCTTGTTATGTACACTTGCTATTGATCGGCATCGCTCCAGTGATCGATGACGGGCTGACGCCACAAACAATTCATCCTGCGTGATAAATGTCTCCTGCTTTCAACACCGCATTTTCGGGACGCCTCCCCGATGCGAGCGCCGGCCGGGTTTTCTCTCTTTGGGGGGAGGGAATGAAACAGGATCCAGAAGTCGGTCACACATGCTGACCTTTCCTGGGTCATTACAACTTGACAACGCCCCCTGATTGGACACACGGTGGACGGTATTAACTCTCTCCGTGCACCGGTAACCGGGGGGAATATATATACGTGAGTATATTAGAATATATTCATCGTAGAATACATGCCTTTGAGTATTATGTCTGTCTACATGTGTTGCTTTGCCATTTGTGTTCAAGTAGCCATTCCTCAATTTGTAACAACGCAGCTGCATACAAGTGTCCGTCTGGGGCGCATCCTGTTGTTTGGTCGCATGAAGAGAGCAGACTTGGGTGATTGTTCAAGAGAAAGCCCACACGGCGTTCGTTGCCGCCAGCACGAGTCAAAACATTTGACATTGATCAAGGTCTCCAAGATGTGATGAAGTCTTAGTCGTTGATTCGTTTGATACTTGATGAGTTGTGGATTTATTGTTGCACTTGACTACTTCTGACCATGTCGATGAGAAGGACAAAACGAGCGAATGAGCTATAAGCCGATTTTATTTTTTCTTCTTCTTAGTACACGCGTGTCGGAAAGTGTAGCTTGATTTGTGCCTCCGACTGTGTATATTTTTCCTTGATAAGAATTCCAGGGCGCGTGTTACAAGTTGGTCATAATTACCAATTAGCTGACAGTCGCAGGACGCGCACCGGCCTCTAATTGGAAAAAGTGTTGAACAAAAAGCGTAATTTAAAAGTGCTGTGGCGTGTTATAAAGTGGCGGCGGCGGCGGCGGCGGCGGCAAGGTGCTCTTGCCTTCTTTTGTGGGGCCGATAATGAAAAATTCTGGAGATTTCGCCGCGGAATACTTTTCACCCCCTCCTCGCCAGATAATTAGAAAGAAGGGAACAAATGATATCATTTTTATTAGCGGGAGGAGAAACGGGAGCCATTTATCAACATGCTTTCATTTATTAATTAATCATGAGGAAAAAAAAAAAAAAGCGCCACTTCTGGTGAGTGCACATGAAAACCATTTAGGCGGCTTGATAGATATCCTTGGGAAAATGTCACTCCTCCTCCTCGCGTGGAAGAAAAGTTCGGCTTTTAAATGCTCTCTGGCTGGCCGCTACCTTCCGTTGCCACCCACATGCCGCTTTGATTCGCCAAGGCCATCATTTTCACATTAATGCCCATTAAAGAGGAATGTACGCGGCGCTGCCGAATGGCTGCGTTGGCTTGGCTGGCTGCTTTCATTAAGCGCCGAGGAAGCGGCCATCTGTGACTCGGGTCGCGCAATGTAGACGGACGGACGGACGGACGGACGGACGGACGGACGCGCTCGTGCCCGCCAAGATGGAACCAGTCTGTGATTTGCCGCCTTTCAGTGACGCATGATTTGGAGTATTATATGGTATGGAACTTTTCACATCATTTGAGGAGTAGTGCTGAATTTCATTTTGAAAATGAATTTTGTTGTTTTACTCATGATCATTAAAAAAACAAAACAGAACAAAATAAAAAAACGAAGTGATGAAAAATTGTTTAAAACTCCACCCACAATCTACAACTGAGCATGACGTGTGCCTCCTTTGAGAATTTCTTTCTGATACGATGATGCTGCATTTTGAAAAAAAAAAAAACAAATAAAAGTGGTATTTGCATCTTTTGAAGGAGCGAAGGTAAGTGAAACCTTTCGGCTCCTTACTTTTGCAAGACTGTACGCGTGGCCTCACCTCAGTGACCAGAAAGTGGTTTTCAAAATAAACGTGGCCGCCTGGCCCACTATGCACTATCTCCTTCTCCAATAGTGAAAATTGCAAACCTACAGATTAACAATACAGGTCAGCTCCTCCATTTGATATTAGCCTTTCTTGGCAGAAGATAAATAATATATGCCTGTGCGTGTTATTACATTGTCATGTGTTGTACGGGGCCGATGCTGCTTAATATCCTCTCTATGCTGTTTCCCATTATATGTTAGTATTAAGCTGGGGACGGGGGGGGCATTCTTCAGTTGAAGTAATTTGTTTTAATTGCACAATATGTACTTTTTCTTTTGTTTGACAGTGAACTTCAAACAATGGGGGCAACAAAAAGCTTGGGTCCATTTTTTTTCCTGACAATTATTGACTAATTGGGTCTGCCAAACTGCTGCTTGCTTTGAGGTCATTTGTGTTCAGTTTACTGCCACCATTACGGTGGTCATATCTTACATTTTTGTTCTTAAGGCAAAGCAAACACTCAGGGGGCCGGTTTATCTCCAAACCATGTGAGTTGTTTTGTTTTGTTTTGGGGTTTTTTTGGAGCGGGCGGGCATCTGGCAAATTGTCGGAATAGTCATGAGATTTGCACGGCATGTCGCTTCGTCCAACTTCCCAAAAGTGGCAGTCGGCACGTGGATCCGGGCTGTGATTTTAAAATGCCTCGCATGTGTTTGCGGTCAGAGCTTGTTTGTTGTTTTAAGTGCGGATACGCGCGTTTAAGTCATGCTGATTTATTCATCATCCTCATGCATGAAGGATGCTTTTTGCATGCGTCGCATTGGAAGCGGCTTTGTTTGGCTCGTCCCCGCACACGTGTTCTCGTCTTGCTCTCAGTCACCCGCTTCTCAGCGTGCGCACCTGAAGCCAAATTCGATGTCGGTGCAGGAAAACGCTCAGTGATGACATGATGAAAGGGAATACGGGATGCCGCCCTTCTCTTACTCTTCTTTTACCAGACCTTCGAGTCTATTGGAGTAAGCGGCGCCTTTTGTGTGATGTTGGAGGAATGTGCTTTCCTGAGTATTTGAGTCTAATTTTGTCGCTGGAGTTGAATTTCGGAAGGATGCTGTGAAGCTGCTCTCTGTCTGAAACTCTGTCAATCATCTCAACTCCACCTGTCACTTCTTTAGGTACACTTGGAGTGAAATACATTTGAACACGTATCGAAATGGTCAACAT